CTCATGCCTACCCAGTCTCTCTGTTTTAGCCATGAGGCAGAAACATTCCGGGGAGCTCTGCATTAGCAGTAACTGGGGATTGAACTCAGGGCTCCCGCTTGCTAGGCACGTACTCTACCACTTGGGCCATGAGGAGCTCTGCTTTAAAGGACCAGGAGTAATTCCTTCTCTCTGGTCCAAGGCCACTACTGAGAACAGTGTTCCCCAGGCAGCTCCTCAGAAGAGATTAGGCAACTGCCCTGAGGGCTTTCCTTTGAGCAACATTGTTTAGCCTTTTTAGCTCCAGTTCTTTGTGACTGTGATGTGACATGAGTCTGCAGAACAGCTCAGGGTAGAAAATAAGGACTTCAGGTAAGAGCTCAGGGGATAATCACCTGGTCACGACCATGGCTTTCCTATTGTGAGGCAGAGAGTTGAGCCTTGTGAAGTTTTGCTGGATTGGGAATGAGGTATGATGGATGGTATCAGTTCTGCCTTGTGAGCATCCAGAATCTTCTCCCACTCTAGCCTAGGTAGAGCAAACAGAGTATACCTCTGGTCTGGAGATGGGACATGAAGGAAACCTTTAAGTCAAGATGCTTCCAAAGTGGGGAAGACTGGGAAGATGGGTGAAGCCAGGAGTCTGTACCATGGCAGGTGGCACAGAGTGGCCAACAATGAAGTGAGCTTGAGCAGTGGGGGGTCTTGTGCCAAGTAATAGCATCAGCTCCCAAATGCTAACTACCTGGAAGAGAAGGCTGGCCTTAAGGATGTGGTCACCGAGTTCCTAACCACTTCCCAAGACACTAAACAATCCTTAAAGAGCCTTCCAAAGCATTTTGGGCTGGACTTCAGCCCCACTGCCTGCCATGCTCACTCCCCAGCATGTCCTCCTCTGACACGCTCACACATGCATTCTTGATGGACTTACAAATGTATTCTGGACTTCTTTAGCTCTTAAAACTCAGACGAATAGGGATGGGCATGTAGCTGAGTGGTAGGATGTGTACCAGCATGCAAGAGACCCTGGCTTCAATCCCTAGCACCACAAAAACAAAAAACAAACCAACAGGAAAAAGCCCATAGCCATGTGGACATGGGTGTAGCATCGTCTAAGAGGCAATGTGTAGAAACTGTGTACTTGCTCTGCAAGAGGTGATGGGCAGATAAAAAAGACAGGCCTCAACCGACTTGGCTTACTTGAAGGCTTTATTTATAAACGAGCTGGCTCATGAATGTGGTTCTGTTTTACGACTTGAAACACCCCTGCAAGCCTGAGTCTTCACATGTGGTCGTGTGTTGATTTCTCTTGGTTAAGTTCTTAGATTGGAAGCACAGTAAACACACAGATCTTGAAGTAGTGGGAGTTTGGATTCCTACACAGGTAACTTGATCTTTTCTGGAGTTGTCCCCTCCTTGAGTGTTTGCAGGTCCTGAAGTAACAAGCATGAGCCTGTGATTCACCCTAGAAGAGATGTGGTCAGAGAACATGTTTCACATGAAGCAGCTGAAGTTAGTGCTGATTGAAAGGCTTGTGGTTAGAGCTGACTCCGATTGGCACGTTTTTTTAACAGGTGCCAAAAGCTCCAGGGTGATATGCTGAGACGTGGTCTAAAACTTGGCCTCCTCCAAGCCCACAAGAGTCTTGTAGACGTGATCTCATCGCATGGCACAGCCTTGAGTAGGAAAGGTGAGGGCAGAGGTGCTCTCCACCTGCTCTCCACTGCCTTCTCCCCATGGCACCTCCAGATGGTGAACATTTGCCCTTCTGCCAAGCCAGTGCCACCTCACAGAATAGCTCTGTTATTTATTTATTTTTTTTGGCAGTACTGAGGTTTGAACTCAGGGCTTCACACTTGCTAGGCAGGTGCTCTACCAATTGAGCCACACCCTAGTCTTGTTATTTTTGTATTGGATATATATTTTTTTTGTCTTTTTTCTTTTTTGGTGCTGGGATTGAACCCAGGGCCTCGTGCATGCTAGGCAAGCACTGTACCACTGAGCTACATCCCAGCCCTGTTTTGGATATTTTTGAGATGGAGTCTTTCAAACTGTTTGCCTAGGCTGGCCTTGAAGCCTGATCCTCTTGATCTCTGCCTCCCAAGTAGGTAGGATTACAGGCTGAGCCACTGGTGCCGGGCAAAACAGCTCTTTTCTTATTCCCATCTTCCTACCTGCCTCAAAAGCTGTCACTTCCCTCCCTGCAGATGCAACCTGTGTGGTGCTGGCAGCTTTACAAGCCCCCATCTCAGGCTCTTCCCTATCCCCTTTTGCCCTGTCATCTTGTGGAGTCCAACACCTGCATCACCAACTTTTTAGCCAAGTCCTGCCAATGGTTTTGTCCTCCCACTCACCTGTTTATTACATGGTCAGAAATAGAGAAATTGATTTATTGTTGGGTGATTGTGTGAGTATGAAGAACTTAGTTTGTTCTAGGCACTATGTTAGGTGGACGGGTGCAGCTGTGTGCAGTGTGGAGTTTTAGGCCCCTGCCGGATTTCTTCCAGTCTTAATGAGGCAGGATAGATCAGGGAAAATGAGGCATGGGAAACAGGAGCCAGGAATTCAGAGATAAACACTGAATTAATGAATAGCTTAACTAAAAGCACACAGACACTTACTTGCATTAAGCCTTACACTTCCTCAGTAAGCTGCAGTATTTAATAAAAAGAGGAAAAAAAGTGGGGGGCGGGGAGAGGAGCTCTTCTTTCCCTCTGACTTTATCTGCTTGTCTGCTTGCCCAAATAATTAGTGCATTCTAGGAACTGTGCAAGGTTTTGGTTTTTTTTTTTTTTTTTTTTTGTGGTGGTACTGGGATTTGAACTCAGGTCTTCACACTTGCTAGGCAGGTGCTCTATCACATAAACCTCTTGGCCAGCCCTGAACAGGGTTATCTTAAAAGAAAGACACTTATCCTGGGTGAAAACACTTGGGAAAATGATTCCTTTGGGTACAAAAAGTATTTGCAAAGGAAAATATCTCAGGGATGACACCTGTCTTGAAGGCAGCATCAACAGAACCCATCCTTCTGAGGGACAGGGGGGAGAAATGGCCCAAACAATGTATGCACATATGAATAAATGGATAAATAAAATAAAATAAATTATAATTTGTTATAATCATAATTTGTATGTAGGTTTTAGAGCTAAAATTTGATTTATATTTTATTTGCCAAAAAAAAAAAAAACCCATCCTTTGTTTAAATGGATGTTCATTTGTCATTATGACCCAAACTTGATATCTCTGGGCTCAGTTGATAAAACAATGTAATAGCAAGAATGATTATAACTACACTAAGTGTAAAAACCAAGGGGAGCACTTATCCTAGTCAAATCCCCCGACCCACTTTCTCACCATAAATACCCCTGATGTTAGAACACTCCTGCACTGTTATCAGATGTGCCCGCACGCAGGTATGGGGTATGTACTGCCCTTTCTTTGCTTTGCTTTACTGATAAACTTCCTTGGTCTCTGCCTCAATGTATGCTAAAACTCTTGTGACATGTCATAAGCTTGGTACCCAAGTGGCAGGCAGAGGCCTCTTCCTTTTTGGAGATCTTCTCTTTGGAACCTCACTGGTCCCAGTAACACTAAAGGATCAGACAGACACAGATGAAAGGAATAAAAGTCACAGGCACTATGTGGCCTGTCCAGGAGCAGTGGGAACAATACTGTCTCTCCACAGAGTAGTTCTCTGCTCCCACAGCCAGACTGCCTGCCTCTGTGTAGCCCTGTACAGCCCAGGCCACCCCGGTGTCCTGGGGACTTCTCATGTCCCTACTCTTTCCTTCTGTCCTAAGTGACAGTCTCCTTCTCAGTGTCTTCCTCCCACCGACCCTTTACCCATCACAGTGCTCAGTGTTGTCATCTTTGGTACTCCCTTTTGCTGTCTTTGCCTGCTCCACCCTTGTCTACAAGCTGCCCTCAGTGTGGGAGGGGGTCTTTTCCTCCCCTTACCCTCCCTGAAGGGCCAGAGCACCTGGCTCATATTCCTCCAGGTCCTGGCACTCTGCTGCCACATCTCTCAGTCCCCTCTTCCTCTTTCACATCCCCACCTGAGTACCTCAAACTCTGCACCTGGCAGCTGCCTCCAGGTTCATCTTCAGACCACACAGGTTCCTGTCTGAGAGCTCCTGTGACCTTGTAAATAGGCAACACCTGGGATGGCCTGGCCTCCATTTGTGACTCCCTGTCCTGTCTCCCTTTCCCATCTCCTCATGCCTCCGGGTATTGCTGCCCTCCAGCCCACTCTCCCCTCAGACGCGTGCTCTGATGGCCCATTCGGCATGGATACCTTTTCTGTACCTGGACCTCCACCTGCCCAAAATCCATCATCCTTGAAGGGCCAGTTGTGTCACCCCTTCCTCCTTGAAGGGGAGAAAGTTGTTTCCTCTGACTTGTCCATTCCACTTGTTCCTCTCCTGTCCTGTGCTAACAGGGCTCTAAGAGCTCATATCCTGCCTGTCTTTTCCCCACATCAGGTCCCTAAGGGCAAGTCCCTACTGCTGTAGCCAGCACAGGACTTTGTAAACAGCAGGCGTTCCGTAAGTATTTCATAAATGACTCTTCAGCAGCCTCTCCTCCCCTCTAGGGCACATCAACTGATCCCATAGTTAGCCTGGGTGTAAGCTGGGATTAGAGCCAGGTTCTCCGACTCCCATGATTCTTTTTCCTGTAACTTTTTTGCTTTTAGCTTCCTTCTGAATTTACCAGTCCAACCACAAACATTCTCTGAGGAGAGGAGCTCAGGTTTCTTTCTGATGCACAATATGTTCAAATTCCCATGTGTTCTTGACACAGGCTCAACAGTGTGTGGTGTGGTATGTGCTCAACTTCTGTTATCAGATGCCGGCAGGATGCAGCCACATATGCACATTCTGAATGTTGTCCTTGCAGGGCCCGGCAGTCACAGAGAGGCCAGGTGTCTCGGCACAGCCGGCAAGGAGCAAGGACAGAAGTCACTGGAGCTTTGTCTTACAATCATGATGACATGCTCTTACATCTCCATGCTTCCCTCCCAGGAGATGGCAGGCAGAGCGCTCAAGCAGACAGGCAGCAGGAGTATTGAAGCTGCCCTGGAGTACATCAGTAAGATGGGCTACCTGGACCCAAGGAACGAACAGATTGTACGCGTCATTAAACAGACCTCCCCAGGTGAGCCCAGACTGGCAGCACGGTGGATGAGCATTAGTGGTTTGAGAACACAGATGGTTTGCAGAATGAGGTCTGGTGACCTGGCCTCAGTCACTAGATAGTTTCTCGGCACATTCCCTCACTCAGCTAACGGGTAAGCTGAGCCTGCCCTGCCCTGACCTGACAAAGTCAAGCCTGGAGCGGGTAGGTCACAGGAGGTAGATGGAGGGACTTGTCTGAGCGTTCATCCTACCCCCATCAGAAATAACCTGTGGTACTTCTTGTCTAGAGGGTTTGTGTGCTTGCTTTGTTTTCTGAAAGGTGGAAAACTTCAGCATGGTGAGAGTAAAAATGTTCATTTCACTTTTGCTTAGGCCTGGAGAGGGGTCTTTGAAAGGGAAGGCTTATTAGTTCTAAAACATGCTTTTTCTCACACCCAGTGCAGGAGCCTGTGTACACAGCAGCTGTGACCTTCCCGCATTGTCTGCTGGAAAGGGACAAGGGCACCCATGGCACTTCATTGGCTGTCAGGGAGGTTCCTCTCCAAGGGTGGGATACATGGGCCTTGTTTTGAGGGTACTTGAGGTCCCTGGAGTGTGATAATTTTAAAACCCCAATTTATGGAAGATCCGAGATAAAACCTGCTTCAGGTGCCAAGTGAGTCTTCATGAGTTGTTTCTGATGTCATTAAGGGAGCACACACTTCTGATTTCTTTCTGAGAGAACGTTCCTCAGTCACTCCCTGGCTGGCCATCCGTGTCTTGGAGTTGTTGGGTCTGTCTCAGAGAGCACAGCGCCAAAGGAAATCATGATCCCACAGCGTAACCATGTCTTTCCTACTTGCCTCTGGCGTGCCGTTTTCACTGAAGCATCTTAGCCCAGGAAGCACAAGCTGTCGTTCGGCTGTGCTTTCTCCATGCAGTGGCTCTGGGGACCTTCACTCTACCAGGGAATCCTGGGGAGCAAGGCATGGCCTTTGCTTATAGCACCCGCTGCCAAATCCCGCAGAGCAGAGCAGTCCATGTGAGGACATGAAAGGAGTCTTTGTCCCTCCTTCCAGGCAGCCATTTTAAATGAGAAAAGATTTTCAAAGTGGAAAAGTCAGGAATAAGGAAGAAGCATCAAAGAAGGGGGGAGGTGGGGAAGAAAAGAAAGCAGCAGTAGAAATTTATCTGGGCAATTTGTGGAGAGAATCTATGTGGTTTACACTGTTGTGTATATGTTGCCTTGTTTGGTTTTAATAAGACAAAAACCCAGGAAACCTTTAATTTGGAAAATGGGTGAAAAGAAAGTGGACATTTGGATGTTTCCCTTCGTAGGGAAAGACAAGTTTGGGAATCGTGTAGTAAACCCAGCTATCCTAAATGACTTGGGCATGCCATGTAGAAAACAAACCTGGCTGTCCAGATGGTCCCCCAGAATGGCAGGAGTGATCCTGAGTGCCATGTCCTCAGTCAGAAGTGTGAGGGAAGCTCCTCAGCAAGAGCTAGACCCTGCCATCTCTGTGACCTGTCACCTGACCTGTGACCTCCCATGTCACGCCCACCAAAAAACCACATTAGGGTGATTGGTCCCTGCTGGTGCCGGATACACCCTGCTGGATAGACCCTGTGCATCCAAGGACACAGCTAATGTGAGCACAACCTGAGAGTGTCAGAACCTACTGGTTCTGTCACCAGACCAGGTAAGGGGACCTGGCAAGTTCTTGGTCTCACTGAAGAAAGAATTCAGGGGGAGACACACAGGAGTTTCACACAGCAAGATTCATTGAAAATACAAGTGAAAGTACAGAGGAAATTGAGGGTCAGCAGTGAGGGAGCAGCTCAGTGCACTGATCTCTCCGGTCCTAGGCACTTTTATGGGTTGTCAGAGATTGGATATTTTAATTTTATGTACAATTATGACTTTTCCCGGAAGGGGTTGGCTAAGGAGGAGACTGCCTCACAAGGACAGGTCAGAACTAAGATGGTGAATTTGGAACCAAGATGGAGATTTGTAAGGCACCTTACATCTAAAACCACAATTAATTACACGCTAATGAAGTCTTTCTGCAGAAATGGTACAAAAAGCCAGAAGGTGGGGGGATTCACAAATGTGAGTGACAAGTGTCAGTGGGTTGTTAAACCAGGATATAGGTGGACTTGGGACTGGAGTAGAGCCCTGAAAGCTGTCCCCGTTTCTGGTGGGTGGCTGCAGCTGGGCTCAGTCCCATCTCCCTGCATAAGAGCCCCTCCGTCCCCCTCTCTGATGGCCTCTTTCTGTTCTTTACGCTGCAGGAAAGGTGGTCGCACCCAGCCCGGTGGCACGAAGGCCCAGCTTTGAAGGCACTGGCGAGGCGTTCGCATCCTACCACCCGCTGGGTGGCGCGGCCTATCAGGGCCCGGAGGAGATGCAGCGGCCCTACGTGGACTTCCTCTTCCCAGGTGTCGGCCCCCACAGCGTGCCTGGTCACCAGCACACCGCCAAGGGCTACAGCGCGGCTGTGGAGCCGGCGGGCGCGCACTTCCCTGCCGCGGGCGCCGCACTGCCGCTGCCGGGCGCACACTACAGCCGCCCACACCTGCTGGTGGCCGCCGAGCCGCTGGGCTATGCCGTGCAGCGCAGCCCGTCCTTCCAGAGCAAGACGCCGCCCGAGCCGGGAGGCTACGCCGGCCTGCCAGCCAAGGGCCAGGGAGCCCCGCCGGCCGCCACCCGGGACCTGGCTTTCCCAGCCCCTGCCCCGGGGCTGTATGTGCCGCATGGGCACCACAAGCCAGCGGGGCCTGGGACGCACCCCCTGCACGTGATCGGGGCCCGGGGCCAGGGCTTCGCGGGTGACAGCGCCGCGCAGGGGCTGCTCGCGCCCTCCAGAAACAGCCTCAACGTGGACTTGTATGAGATGGCCGGCGCCCCGGTGCAGCAGTGGCCGACCGCCACCCTGGCCCGGCGGGACTCGCTGCAGAAGCCAGGCCTTGAGGCACCACGCCCACACGTGGCCTTCAGGCCCAGCGGCCCAGGGCCCAGCAGGACCAACTCCTTCAACGGCCAGCAGCTGCGGGCCGCCGCCGGCCAGGCCGAGCCCTCGCTACCCGCGCCCAACACCGTCACCACAGTGACGGCCGCGCACATCCTGCACCCGGTGAAGAGCGTGCGTGTGCTGAGGCCCGAGCCGCAGACTGCCGTGGGGCCTTTGCACCCGGCCTGGGTGCCTGCCGCCCCGCCCACCGATGGCCTGGATACCAAGGATGAGCACCCCCTGGGCCTGGGCGGTGCCAGCGCCCACCCGCTGGACGTGGAGTACAGCCCGGACCGCAGGTGCCCGCCGCCGCCCTACCCGAAGCACCTGCTGTTTCCCAGCAAGTCCGAGCAGTACGACCTGGACCTGGACAGCCTGTGCGCCGGCGTAGAACAGAGCCTCCATGGGGGAACGCCCTCGGAGCCCGACAGGAGCGACAAGAGCCACAAGAGCGCAAAGGGGGACAAAGGAGGCAAGGACAAAAAGCAGATCCAGACCTCCCCGGTCCCAGTCCGCAAAAACAGCAGAGACGAGGAGAAGAGAGAATCGCGCATCAAGAGCTACTCCCCGTATGCCTTTAAGTTCTTCATGGAGCAGCATGTGGAAAACGTCATAAAAACCTACCAGCAGAAGGTCAACCGCAGGTTGCAGCTGGAGCAAGAAATGGCCAAAGTAATTTCGCATTTCCCTCTTGCCGCTTTTCCCTGGCTCTTCCCAGTACTGGTAACAGGAGACTCCTTTAGCACTCCTTTACCACAAACCCACGTAAGAGGCCATGGTCTGCTTAAGGGGTTAGCCCCTATCTGTGTCAATTAGCAAATTGATTTGTATGGGGTGTCCTTAACTGTTAAAGTGCTTCACGGGTTACTTAATAATAACATTTGAATGACTAGAAACTAGAAAGTTTGAGGTTTTATAGATTTAAATTAGGATTTTCAAAGAAAAATATATTGTAGCAATCCATTGATGCATCCTTTAAGTAGTTAGTAACGCTTTAAACATACCCTATACAGTGCTAGAGAAGGTAATTATTAATGAAATCATCTAAATTTAAATATAACAGTAAATTTAAGTCCCACAAAGCCAATCATTCCAAACTCTAAAAGTCAAATTTGTGTTCTTCCTGTTCCATATTCATCAATTTGTTTTCTATTTTCTCTGATTAGATTACTCTTGGAGAGCCAGGAATATTATGGTCTCCTTACATTCAGATTTTCATTAATAGGGGTTTTCCTTTGTTTTTACAGCGTAAAGTGACTCAGAGAAAGAAGTATTTTTGTCTTACCTTTCTTTGGATTCCAGATATGTATTTTATGGATATAAAGAAAAAGATGATTATTATCTTGCTTATAGTGTATTAGACCCATTCTTGGTTATTTGCCTTCCTATAATGTCCTCACTGTTCCAGGGTATCCCTGCCCCAGTCCCTTGCTGCCATGGGGCTCTTTAAGGTGACTCTTCCTTCTGATTTTCCTGTGTGTAGGCTGGACTCTGCGAGGCTGAACAGGAACAGATGAGGAAGATCCTCTACCAGAAGGAGTCTAATTACAACAGGCTGAAGAGGGCCAAGATGGACAAGTCAATGTTCATAAAGATCAAAACCCTGGGCATCGGTGCCTTTGGGGAAGTGTGCCTTGCCTGTAAGGTGGACACTCATGCCCTGTATGCCATGAAGACCCTGAGGAAGAAAGACGTCCTGAACCGGAATCAGGTGGCCCACGTCAAAGCAGAGAGGGACATCCTGGCTGAGGCGGACAACGAGTGGGTGGTCAAACTCTACTACTCCTTCCAAGACAAGGACAGCCTGTACTTTGTAATGGACTACATCCCTGGGGGGGACATGATGAGCCTGCTGATCCGGATGGAGGTCTTTCCAGAGCACCTGGCCCGCTTCTACATCGCCGAGTTGACTCTGGCCATTGAGAGTGTCCACAAGATGGGCTTCATCCACCGAGACATCAAGCCTGACAACATTTTGATAGACCTTGATGGTCACATCAAACTGACAGATTTTGGCCTCTGCACTGGGTTTAGGTGGACTCACAATTCCAAATACTACCAGAAAGGTACTGGCTTTGACCTGCCACGTACATTTCCTGCATCTAGACTGAACTGAACCCTGTGGGGCACCTAGCCCATCCTGTGACTCTAATCATTAATCATCTCTGTTAAAGGAGTAGTGGGAGATGTGTGAACTTGGAGGGGAGTGTGTTTCTAGTTAGTGGACTTAAGTTTTACTATATTTTTAGATCAGTAGGTCATAATGGGGCCTTTGTGAAGAACCACCATTCTTCCCTATCAAAACAAGCTTTGAAAGATAAGTCTCAGGGTTGAAGGTATTCTTCACTAGCATGCACTGAACCTGGGTTCAATCTCCAGCAACATTTTTAAAAAAAAAAAAAGGAAAGTTTGGCAGTCCCTGGAGGAGTCCTGTTGTACAACTGATCTGACTTTAAGTCATTTTCATTTTCTGGCACTGAAGTCATTTTGTTCGTATTTTTTTAAGTCCTCTTGAGTTTTTCCATGGTCATTGTAAAAACGTTTCTGGCTGGACAGGTGCAAGCTAGGCTTTCGCTGTTGGCCTGAGATGTGCTGGGAGTGATGTTCCCGCTGTTGTTCAGACTTTCCCATAGAGTTTCAGCACAGTACAGTACAGTTTGCTATCACTGCTTTTTTTTTTTTTTGGAGGTACTAGATTTTGAACTCGGGGCTTTACTCTTGCTAGGCAGGTGCTCTGCTGCTTGAGCTACAACGCTAAGAAGTCTCTTCAGCTCTAGGCTTCCAAGACTCTAAATATTCCTGTGTATTTTGTGCCCCAGGAAGCCTGAGAGCTAACTGATTTCCCTAACAAACAACTCTGTTCTGGAATGCCCTTGCTTTGGCACCAGTAGTCTAGTGTCCTCGCCCCATCTGCTGGCTGGGAAGTGTGGGGCATGGGCTTTCTACCTAGGATCCAATAGCTGGCTTTTCCAGTCACATGATGAAACAACTCTGGGAGCCACAGGACAACTTCTCACTCTGCCTAACCATCACTTCCAGGTGCTAGCTTAGTTCTCCTTGGCCCAGACTCCTAACTGGTTTATTCCATGTCCAGCACACAAATACTGTTTTCCTTAGATTCTTTGCTAGCCCAGAACTTCTGGTTGGGACTCCAAATTACATTGCACCGGAAGTGCTTCTGCGCAAAGGTACGCCAACATCTGCTTAGCTTGAGCTCCCTAGCCAGTGCTGACCTGAGGTGATTTTTGTCTTCAGCCCTGAGAAGGCAGGTGACTGCTAAGAAGTCTCTTCAGCTCTAGGCTTCCAAGACTCTAAATATTCCTGTGTATTTTGTGCCCCAGGAAGCCTGAGAGCTAACTGATTTCCCTAACAAACAACTCTGTTCTGGAATGCCCTTGCTTTGGCACCAGTAGTCTAGTGTCCTCGCCCCATCTGCTGGCTGGGAAGTGTGGGGCATGGGCTTTCTACCTAGGATCCAATAGCTGGCTTTTCCAGTCACATGATGAAACAACTCTGGGAGCCACAGGACAACTTCTCACTCTGCCTAACCATCACTTCCAGGTGCTAGCTTAGTTCTCCTTGGCCCAGACTCCTAACTGGTTTATTCCATGTCCAGCACACAAATACTGTTTTCCTTAGATTCTTTGCTAGCCCAGAACTTCTGGGAGGTAATATTTGTAGACAATAGTAGGCATAAAACCACAAGTACTCAGTTAAATTTGTCTCCTGGATGGATGCTCTGTTCTGTCAAACACAGCATCTATTTCAGAACACCAGGGATCTAAGTGATCCTGCATGGCCCATTGCAACTGTGGGCTCGTAGCTTGATTCATGTAGTAATTCAGAACCAGGCAGCCTCTCCTTCCACATGCATTGTTTGATGTCTTTAGAGCCAGCCAAAGCTGGTTCAGGTCAAGGATTTCTGTATTGGCTGTGGTTATCCAAGGCAGGCTATGGAGCCCCTCTTCCGCATGTGTGCAGCAAGAACTACTCAGAGCTGGCAAGTGCTAACCCTGGTGCCCAAGAAAGGAGCCCAGGGAGATCAGGCTGCCTCATAGGCTGACCTCTCACATCCAGTTCCCAATAGCAAGGATTAGGTGGCATCGAGACCAGCCTGTCTTGACTGGGACGCTCTGGAGGAAAAGTCTGTAGATAAATGAACCTGCTCCACAGGCCAATCCTGAGCATCCCAGGCAGGGCTCTGTGAGGAACATTTGGCTTCCCTGGAACTTGTCTTGGGTTATAGTGAATTGTGCAGTCATCCTTCTTACCAGAGTGGGCCCTCTCCTCATTGTCACATTCATCTCCATACTCTTCAACTGCATCCAAAACTGCCTGAGAAGCTTCCCCAGCAAACCCTCCCCAATGATGGCTTCACCTGACCATTTTCAGGTCATGGCCCCTTTTGGTTTTGGGTTTCTACTATTTTTCATTCATATTTGTGTGTTGTTCAGGTTGGTTACTAATATTGTTATTAACAATACCAGTAGTCTTTTAAAATGTAAAAAGTCTTTTCTTCTTACTGTAAAACATCCTTTGTTTATCACAGGCTTTTGATTAAAAATGAGAAAAGTGGCTTTGGCCCCTGTGATGACAGTTAACACTCTATCATGAGCCCCTCCCAGTCTACCCTTCTGAGCCCCTGTGTGAGGACACGTATTCATGTGGCCCTATCTTTTACTAGCACAATCCCACCTCAGCCTGCTTTCCTGCCTCACAGTAAATCCGAATGCCCAGGATCTTGCAGTCACCTCTGATGGTTGTCTGCACTGCACTGGGACTGAGCGAACGTTGTCTTTCAGGTTACACACAGCTCTGCGATTGGTGGAGTGTCGGTGTGATTCTCTTTGAGATGCTGGTGGGGCAGCCACCCTTTCTAGCACCTACTCCCACAGAAACCCAGCTGAAGGTAAGCAGGAAGGAATATGCACGTGTGTGTTGCTGAGCACTGCGCATTCCTGATGCTCTGGGAAACCTTGGTCACTGTTTGACCTCTTGTTTAGAGTAGGAATAGCAGCTGTTTATACTGGGGATGTTTTTTAAGACAGGCTCTTAACAATGTAGCCCAGGCTGGCCTCAAACTCACTGTGTAGACTAGGATGGCCTTGAATTTGTGATCCTCCTGCCTCTGCCTCCCAAGTGCTGGTATTACACTTGTATGCCACCATGCTCAGTTTATCATGGGATTTTTTTTTTTTTAAAGAAATACTATTTCTTACTATTTTTCATTTGAATTTTTATTTTGATGAATAAAGCCACAAAATTTGATACCTTTGTATATCAGAAATTTTATTTAAACCATTGGCCATCTGCCATCTGGTTATTTCCAGGCAAGAACTATATAAAGTGAGAGCACACTGCAAATTAGCTCCCTACCTACCACATGGGCCTATCCTGCCAAGAACAAGCAGATCTTTATAGCTGAAGAAGTCAGTGGGCATAGCGTTACCACCGCAAACTATCAACTAGGTGGTCAGGCCGGGCATGGATATTCCCAACACTCATTTGAAATAGTAAAACCTGTCAATTAAACATTTGATACTAAATCCATTTTAAAACATCAGCCCCATTTGGCTTCTGAAATAAATTAATCCTTAATCAGTGAATCATTGAATTGTGAATCTGAAATGTTCAGTGGACTTAGGCACAAGTCTGGGACATTTTCCTATGCCCTGGAATCCATGGTAGAGCCTAATAAATTAATAACCCTTTAGTTAGAGAAGCCTTAAATTAAAGCTTGGTTTCACTCTGTGAAGAATGCAATTGGAATTTGACATTTTCTGCATTCTAGTTGAATTGGTGAACCACTCATTAATTTGCCTGCATAGTAATAACCAGAATTCTTCCTTGTGGTACAATATACGTGACCCAAAATGTACCATTTGAACCATTTTGAAGCACATAATTTAGTGGTATCAAGTACATACACAATGTTGTGCAACCGTTTCCACTCTGCTTCCAAATACTTCGTCTCAGACAGAGACTTTGTACCCGCTAAAGAATAGCTCTTCTTTCCCTTCCCCTTCTGACCTCCAGTCCACTGTCTGTCTCTGAATTTGACAACTTCAGTTACCTCATAAGTATGGAATTGTACATTATTTGTCTTTTTGTCGTTATTTTACTTAGCACATCATCCTTGAGATGCATGAGTGTTGTAGCATGTGTCAGGATTTCCTTCCTCTTTGTGGCTGAACTATAGTCCTTTGCATATATGTATGTGCCCCATTTTGTTCATCCACTCATCCACTGATGGACCTCTGGGTTGTTTCCACCTCTTGGCTATTGTGAATAGTGCTGCTATGAGTGTGGGTGTTCAGGTGTCTGCTTTGGTCCCTCCTTTCAGTTATTCTGAACATATATCCAGAAGTGGGATTGCTGGATCCTGTGTAGTCCTCGTTTAACTTTTAGAGGAACTGCCAAAGTCTTTAACAACTGCCCTAGCTTACACTCCACCAATAGTTTATTCTCTCTCATCCCTGCTGACCAACCATTTTTATTTTTTGAATACTGGTTGTCTTAGTGGATATGAGGTGCTGCTTCAGGCTTGCAAAGCAGACATTCTACTGCTTTGCAGTAGATGGAGTCTTGAGATTCCCTGGGTCTCAGTCCAAGTAACTAGTTTACAGGTGTGAGACGCCAGTGCCCAGTTTATTTTCATGTACTTATTGGCCATTTGTATATTTTTTGAGAAATACCTATTCAAGTCATTTTTTTAAATATAAATCAGATTGCTGTTGTGTTGAAGGAGATCTTTATGTGTTGCATATTAATTCCTTTTTAAATATATATTTGCAGATATACTCATTGTATTGGGTGCCTTTTCACTCTGCCAGTAATGTCCTCTCATGCAGAAAAATTATAAATTTTCATGAAATCCAGTTTATTTCCTCTTTTGTTGCCTGTTTTGGTACTGTATCTAAGGAATCACTGGCAGATCCAATGTCATGAAGATTTGCTCCATTTTCTTCTGCGCCTTTCATAGTTTTAGCTGTACTAAAAAATACTCCTTAGGTTTAAAGCAGCCCTTCCAAACTAACATCTACCTACCTCCAAGCTTTACCCACTGTCCTGTCACCCCATCCAGGAGCTAGTTTTAGTGGCCTGTTTCACTCTAATTCTGCATAGAAACAGATGGTTTTCTTGTCACAGCAGACACATCTCCATGGCAAAAGTATTCAGTGAATGTCCAGATCACTGATTTGTGTGGTTGAGCATCATGAATGTGAAGCCACAGCCTAGATTCTCCTCCTCTACGAGGCTTTTTTTTTTTTTAAATCTCCATAACCATCTCTCCACATTGAGTGAGTGCTGTGATTGCCATAGCTAAAGAAACGACTCACAGATCAACCTCTGCATGTTTTACAAAAACTCAAAATTCCTGGCTGAACAGTGTTTCTCCTAGAAGAAAACCAGTATTCTTTTGTATGTGGCTTCATTCTCCCATCCTTGGGCCCTGCGCCACCTCCTGAAAACAGTCTATTGGAACCACTCAGAGCAACTGCTCTTTCTGTATCTGTCTGTCCTCCCGTTGTGAAGCTAGAATAATTTAAAAGGCACAGCTTCACATGCTGTCTGAGAAGTGCCTCCTTGGCCTTTGGATGTGAGGAGAAAGCTCTTGGTTCTGTTGTCTCTTAGGTGATTAACTGGGAGAACACGCTCCACATTCCCGCCCAGGTCAAGCTGAGTCCTGAGGCCAGGGACCTCATCACCAAACTGTGCTGTGCTGCTGACTGCCGCCTGGGGAGGGACGGTGCTGATGACCTGAAGGCTCACCCGTTCTTCAGCACCATTGACTTCTCTGGCGACATCCGGAAGCAGCCAGCCCCTTATGTCCCCACGGTCAGCCACCCCATGGACACATCAAATTTTGACCCTGTAGATGAAGAAAGCCCTTGGAACGAGGCCAGCGAAGGTAGTGCCAAGGCCTGGGACACGCTCACCTCCCCCAACAACAAGCACCCCGAGCATGCCTTTTACGAGTTCACTTTCCGGAGGTTCTTTGACGACAATGGCTACCCCTTCAGATGCCCCAAGCCTCCCGGGCCAGAAGCTCTGCAGCCTGAGAACTCAGGTGTAGAGAATTCCGACCTGGATCAGAGCAAAGGCTGCCAGCCAGTGTACGTGTGATTGACACTGGGCGCTGAGCTGGCTCTTCCAAGGTCAGAGGGTCACAGCCAGGTTTAAAGAGGACTCCAGTCTACCAGAGGCGCATCTCTAGATTCTGGCTGATGGGCTGCAGAGAGGGTCGACGTGGCTCGGGACTGGCTCTGGATGACCTTCCCTGCATCAAGACGATGTTTTTAAAGATTCAGTACAGTTTAGAAAGAGCACTTATTTTGTTGATATCCCTTTTTTCTTACTAAATTATAAGAATTAACTCTGACAAATCATGCTGCTGTTATTTTCTACATTTGTATTTTATCCAATAGCACTTATTCACACTTAGGAATAGACATAAAAACTGAAAAACACATAATAAGAAATCTCTGTGCAATAATGTTTAAAAAACAAAAGATAACACTCTGCTCAAACTTCACAGAGACCATTATTTCACACAATGGTTTTTGTTGTGTGTTTTTTCCCACATTTCAAAATTGTGATACAATGTTAAAAAGCTGCTTTTTTTTTTTTTTCTTTTTGCATATTATAGATTATTAGAAAGTATGAGCAAAGAGCTGACTGATGTGGGTGTGATTTCGGATGTCTAGTGTGTGGGAAGTACTGCATGAGCAGAATTTTTCTATTGTAAAATTACCATGTCTTGCCGTTCACAGCAGGCCCTGTGAATATGTCTGTACCGAGTGTTTTTAAATGAGTATTCTAGACAACGTGCTGATAACATATCGTGTGGGTGACTTCCTCGTTATGATTGTATCCCTTATTGTTTTGATAAAGAAATGCAGACGTGTAACTGAGAAGTGATTTTTTTAAAATGTATGTGTCTTGGGTATGATTGAATATTCTTTGGGGGGGGAATGTAAACATTTGTCATGTACTAAACTTAGATACATCAAAAGGGATTCATTCAGCTGTGCCAAACATCGAAGTGAAGCAGGATCACATCCGTTTCTCTTGTTAGTATGCTCTCATTCTTGGTGTAGCTGGTATGTGGAGTTCTGTAGCTAGGATCCTACTACTTAATTGTTTCACTGACAGGCTGCCCACACGGAGATGGAACATTATTCCTCTTGTCTTACAGATGGAACATTATTCCTCTTGTCTTACACAGCTGAGATGTTACTATGAAATTCAGTAACCTTGTGGCTCTTTCATGTTTTTAAATTGTACTTTGAAGTGTCATATCTTAACTTGGTTTAAACAATACATTTTTCTAACCTTTGTAAAAAGAAAAAAAGCCAAGATTCTTCAAAGTGACATTGGAAAAAAAAACTATTAAGCCATACATATTTTCCTAGGCATATAGATGTATATATAACTATATAGATAAACACCAAATATTCCTTATTTCAAATCAGTATGGTTCCTATTTAAAGCGATTTATATTTGAATTAAAAGTTCAATTCTTTTTTGCTTTTTAAAAGATCTGATGCATCATATTTTTATTATATTATTCCACATATTTTTCCTGGAAGTTCTTAGCCTAATGTATCCATTATTTAGTTTATATCTAGGCAGAAACACTTAGAAGTTTATCAATGTCTAAAAAATTCCTGTGTACTGGTTTACATTTGTATGAATGGCATGTTCTGATGTCTGCCGTGCTTTATTGTGACTTACAGTATTTTTGCTATTTTATAGTAATGCCATGTTGTTATTTACAGCGCTCTGACATACTTTCATGTGGTAGGTTCTCTCTCAGGAACTCAATTTAACTATTATTTATTGATATATCATTGCCTTTGAAAAGCTTCTACTGGCACAATTTATTATTAAAACTTTGAATCCAAATCCCTTAGTTGGTGTTATTTTATTAGAATTTGTAAGATCTTGCTCTTGTCAGCATGCTGTCGCTGTGCCAGGCTTTCCTGGTGACTCATATGCAGCCATTGTCATAAGAGGAGAGGGAGAGGCTTCTCCCAGACAGGCCCAAGGAAACTCCCACAGTATGAAAATGGGGAATTTGGTCAGACACAAAATACAAATTGGGGCACCTTCTATGACCACCTTCTCTTCTGTAAAATGGAGACAAAATCTGCCTGTTCAGGGTTGTTTAGTGGGTCAAGTGGGATAGCAGATGTAGATGGTGGGTGATAAAATGAGTCATGAGTTTGCTCCCCTGCATAATGGTATGGCCACCTGAGAGGACAAGTGCTGCACTATTGTGGTTCCAAGATGAAATGTGTCTCCAGGTGGGGGTGCTGTTGAGACATGATGGATCATGAGAGCTCTGCTTTAAGGATTAATCCCTTGATGGACTCATAATCTCCTGGCATTATTGGGAAAGTAGAACGTGGGGCCTGTTTGTAGGAAGTGGGTCACTAGTGCTCTGGAAAGAAATACCTGTCCCCAGTCCCTCCCTAGTGCTGTGCTGCCTGTCTGCCATGGGATGAGCTGCCCTGCTAGCCACAGGGTTCCCACCATAGTGTTTGGCCTCACCCCTGGTGCAGGGCAATGGAACCAGCAGACCTTGAACTGGAACCTCTGAAACTTGAGCCAAATTAAATCTTTCCTCTTTTAAACTGTTTCTGTCCGGTATTTGTCCCAGCAATGAAAAGCTGACAACACAAGCACCCAGCCTTTTGTTTAAAACAGTTGATGGTATCGAGAAATATGGAGAGGAAAATCATTTGTTTACTTCAAGGTAGTCTTAGGTACAGTCATATGGTTTTAAAGATCAATAGATATAGAAAGATACCAAAGAAGGTCTTCTTCACTTCCAGTCATTCAATTTATCTCCCCACAGGTAACAAATGATAATAGTTTATTATGCATTCTGAGAGAAATTAAATTCTTATGCAAGAGCGTAGGTACATGTATATGTATGTTCTTGCCTCTTAAAGAAATGAGGGAATGGAATACATGTTTTTTTGCATCTGTTTTCTTCACTTGGCAATGGGTCTTTTTTGTTTTGGTTTGGTTTTGAGGTTTTGGGGTTTTTTTGCAGTGCTGGAAATGGAACTCAGAGCCTCATGAATACTAGGCAAGCACCCTACCTCTCAGATACATCCCCAACATTTTCATTCTTTATTGTTACTACACAGTGTTCCACTAAGAAGGTATTGTTATCAAGCCATATCATATTAATAGGTATTCAGTTATTTCAGGGCTTTTTTTCATTGCAGTTGTAGAATAAGTAACTTCTTACTAGCTGGGAAACAGTGGCTCACACCTATAATCCCAGCTACTTGTAAGGCTGAGATCAGAAGGATTGTGGTTTAAAACTTGTCCGAGCAAATGATTTGTGAAACCCACATCTCCAAAATAACCAGAGAAAAATGGGCTGGAAGGATAGAGTGCCTGCTGCACAAGTGTGAAGCCCTGAGTTCAAATCCATCCCACCAGAAAAAAAAAAAAACAAAACACCTCCTATTGCCACCGTATATGTGAAAAAATAATACGTAGGACAGATTCCTGGAAGAGGAATTGCTGGGTCCAAAATTATGTGTATTTACAATTTTTATTGCCAAATTGCCCTGTGACTGTATTGAGAGAAACTCCTCCACAGCTGCCCTCCCACACACTTGCTGGATGTGCCAAGCCTGACTTTGCCTGGCTGTTTCTCAGGGTTGGGTTTGTAGTGAGCTCTTTAAAGGATAGGGCCATGTCCTTCTACAGAACAAAGGGCAAGTTTGTTTACTGCTCGCTATAAAAGAAGCAGATCCCCTAGTGCAGGGACCTGAGTGGGTCCCTCTGGGTCTAACGCTTTGTCCCTGTAGGGCTTGGGGACAGGAGGATCTGATGCACACATGCTAACACTCATCTGCATGCTGGGCTGTGAGAAATAAAGGCCTTCCTCTCTGATCCAAGAGTCTCTTGTCTTATTCTAGCATCTGTGAAAGAATAACAGGCTAATTGGGTAAAATAAAATCTTAGACCTGCCAACAGGTAGTGTGCCAGAACATATAATTGAGTATATGGCAGTGTTTGCTGAAACTTATCAACCATACAACCTGTTACCAACTTGTTTGATTTTTGCCCATGAACTGAGTTTTCAAAAGTTATCTTGGTGTAATTGTACTTGACACTTCTTTTATATCGAAGGAGGTTAAACATCTTTGCCTATGCTTTAATAGCCATCTAAACCTTAAAAGTAACAATCCTAATTTTATGTAGTGAGTGCCGATGCTTAGTTCTTGCTTTACAGCATCGTGAAATGTTCCCAGCCACTTCTCCTGCTTGGGCTCCTCTTCTTGCTCAGCTAACAGGATCTAATTGGTGTCACAACCTGATAACAGAGGACTGAGACAGACTCCTTCAGTGTTTCTGCCTGGTTCCATAGCAGGGGATGGTTCTGCATATCTGTGGTCATGGCTGGGTGTGATTGGACTACACTGAGGGAAGAAATAACTTGCTTCGTTCCCAGTTTCCTCCTTCTTTATGTGCTATGTGCTTATTGCTAAGTCTAATTGAATGTCACAAATATTAGCTAACATGTAAGCTTCCTCTGAATGTTCTATAGTGTAAACCATTTTCCGTTGCAATTTTCACAACTGGTATGCTGGGGACTGAACCCAGGGCCTCACTGCTGGTGGCACGTGCTGTACCACTGAGCTACATCCTCAGCCCAAGTTGCAAGTTTTGTTTTTTGGGTTTTTTTCGGCAGTACTGAGGCTTGAACTCATGGTTGCCAGGCTTGCTAGGTTCTGCTAGGCAGGCACTCTTACCAGTTGAGTCACTCCACCAGCCCTCCAAGTTGCAAGTTTTGAAATAGAGTTTATCAAATTCATCCTACCTCAGATATGATTTATAAAATGAGTTTAAAGTCTCAATAACTACTATTTTTTTTAACATTGACACATAAAATGTTATGTATTTACCAGATATAATATGTCTTAAAGTATGTATACATTGAGGAATGACTGGCCGATTAACATGCATTACCTCCCATAGTCTCAGAAACTAATATTTTGTTTCTCCTAGCAATATTTAACATAATGAAAGATATGTTAGGCCTGGTGGCACATGCTTGTAATCCCAGCTGAGAGGCTGAGGCAGGCGGAATGCAAGTTTAAGGACAGCTTGGGCTATGTAGGAAGACCTGTCTCAAAAAAAATCTTTGCTTTTAATGTATATTTATAACTAGCACTGTGCCAGTGTTAGTCCCATGATATCTTTTCCCATTCTGAAGAAACCCTGTTCTTAGTGTATTAGTTACTTTTATCACTGCTGTGACTAAGATTTGAGATAATTTAGGAGGAAATACTTACTTTGGTTCACAGTTTCAGAGGTGACAGTCCGTCATGGCAGGGAGGGTATAGCAGAACAGAGCAGCGTACCTGATAGTGGCCAGGAAGCAGTGAGAAGATCCAGGGAGGACCCCTAAGGAGACACCTCCAGTGACCTACTTCCTCCAGGAGACCCCACCTTCCCAGCAATGCCATCGTATTAGGATTCCATCAAGAGACGAACCCAGTCGGCAGGCCAGAGCTCTCAGGGTCTAATCGGCTCTGAACACACTCAGAGGTGTGCTTCATGAGTCTCTGGGGTGTTTC